GAATAAGCTTGATCTGCTTATGTCATCGATGACATCGTAATGACATTCATTCACCTATTTGATTTAATCCCAGCCAAGAGGAATCTCATTTGAATTGAAGGGGTTATATTTTTAGGAGTGATTAATTTTTGGGAAAGAAAGTTTTTAGCTTTCTACTACTACATTTTTGGAAGACTCCCTAATTCTTTTTTTTGTATCAAGATGGAGTAGTAGAAAGCCAAAAACTTTCTTTCCCAAAAGTATTTCATCCTCCCACTACTATGAGAATTTACTATTGCAATCATTTTGATATCTTTTTCGTCAACGAACCACTGAACTTGAGAATGTCGTCAGCTCCCATTTCACTGAAAGAGATGTTCCTGTCATTCTTCAATTTTGACAACTTCCTTGTAACTGTTCTAGAAATAGGAAAGATTTTCCTTGTCTGAGACTCAAAAAACACATCATACCACTCTCACAATGTGTTAGGAATAGCATGCGCTGAAAGATGAGACCCTGTCAATGCTCAGCTTGCACAAATTACGACTTTTGAAGGTTGTCATTCGCAAAGAGAAAACAGCTGCTTAATGAAAACCACAGTAAAACCGAGAAAAACCACAGCATATCTAAATAGGAAAGTTAATATTCCTGAAATTAAATGGGCTTTTCCATTAACCAGCTAAATGACAATCCTCGAAAGTCAAAACTTGCTCGAGCTAAAGATTAACGAGGTTTTACCCTTCAATGAGCTATTCCTAGCACGAGTTCGGAAGTTACTTGATGAACTGAAATAAATCATCATTTTTTTACAGTTTGAAATAAATTCATATGAATGTATGAACAATAGAAATACCTTCGGAAATAAGTACAACACAATCCCTTATTCTATTTAAAAATTTAGTACGGACAATTATCACTTCGAGGAAGGTTTCACGTCATTTTATAAATGAGAGTTGATGTAATTCACGTTTTTTCTCATCGTTGAAATCACACCGTTTTTGTCAGGCCCAAAATAAAAAAAACATCCAGTAAGTTTCTATCTCAAACTCACGCTAAATCGAACTGGGTAACAATCATGCCAACTGTTATTTTTCATTGTAGAGGGATTTTTAAAGACAAGAAGAACTCTATTATAAATTACGATCCTTCCACTTTGTTATTTTTCAAATGATTACGGTATACATTTTCTTATTATCTATAGAATATAATCAAGAGATTGTTCTTGATATTTATTGTATAATTAATGTTTTCATCAGTATTTTATTTTATCAATTCCATTGTCATTTAATCTCAACACTTGAATTTGTAACTAACTTTATGTATGATGTAACGTCAGTTACAAATACAGCTGGTAAATTAAGTAACATCAATTTATTAAATATGAATATCACTGTTAGATATGAAAGTCTTCTTATATAAATTTGCTCTAAAGATTATTCTCATTCCTCGGTTCTACAATTTCTGTAGTTGAAACAGTTCTTTCAGGTTGAAAAGATACAGAACTGATGAACAGTAATCAAAATGATGTACATACAGTGAATCTTGTTTCAGAGAAATGTCATCAAACCCAATATATTTCAGTTTGGCGCTAAGTCATTCAGAATTCACCAGATCAAGAACCTTGCTTTGGTTAAGCTTTCCCGATAAGTAAGTTCTACATTTTCCCCGAAGCTCAGACTGCTTGGCATAAAGTACTTGGTTGCATTTCTCCAAACGTTTTTGAGAATGATAATGATTCGTTCAGAATATTTTTCATCCTGAATTGAAGGGGTTATATTTTTAGGAGTGATTAATTTAATTATGTCATCTACAATACCCCTCGAGAAACCGTTAGTGGCTGCTATTTCCTGTATTGTACGTTTTTCTTTTGTGAACCTATCATGTGTTAGAGGGAAAGTCAAAAGACGATGCACCAAAAAATTCAACCCAGCACGTTTGTGCTGTCCACTGTGATGTGAACTGTCAGGAATATACCTGTACGTGCTTGTGTCTTTTCTAAATATATCATATTCTAACTCTCCATATTGGCTTAAAAATAAAAATAACGATTTGGTGTTGGGAAAAAACTACAGTAATATTCATATAATTGACGCTCAGTCACAGAAAAAAAAACATGGAAACAACTCACCCCATACATCTGAGTATGACAGTTTTTAGCCACCTGAAGAAATGAAACTCCGAAGCTAATCCCGGTTTCACTGCTGGGTTGGCGGTTCCAATGTACAACCATATAAGAAAAACGACACTGACACAAGCCAGAGCGTAATACCAGTTAACTAACAGCATAATTAATATTTTGAATGCAGCCTGAAAATGAAAATAATTTCCATAAAGTGAAGTTTTATACACCAATGTGAAGATAAAGTGTAAAATAAGAATATACATAAAATCATTAATAACTAAATGTTTTTTAAACTAATAACTGAATATACATGGTGACCTGAAGGGGGGACGGTTGGTTAGCGTGATGGATTGTCAATAAATAATTGAAATATGTACGTGAATAATTGTGTATACATTTACGGTACAGGTAAAGCTAAAAGTTTAAATTTTCAACTGATGTCATGTAAATCTTACTTACACCGATTAAAGACAGCCATCTATTGCACAAATTAGAGTACCAATTTTTTTGTTTAGAATGTATGTTGATTTTCGGTGATATTGGTGTTGTTTCACTACTCTCCTCTGGACTACTGACAGAGTTCGAACTAGATTCTCCCTAGAAAAAATCGAGGTTATGTATCAAACGTATGGAAACTCATGGAAAGCAAGCAAAATCTTGAATATACCACTAATCTAGTCCAACTGATTTATTATAAATCCACTGACCCATTATTTGAGTTCCCATGATAATATAATCATACAATTTTCACACTATTAATTTTATTCAAGGCATTTCAACTGTTTGATTGAATAATAAGTCGAATTAGGTTTACTGCTAATAAATAATTTCATCAATAGTGACTTGGATTTATTTAAAATCAGTTTATTACATTGATACCGATTACTAAATCTGTCAATAACTAAATTTATTTTAATTGATAACTCACTCTCATTGTTTTCAGAAACAGCGATTGTTGTATCTTCAGCATACATAGGTATGTGACAATCTGATATGAATTCGGGCAAATCATTGATAAAAATCAATAATAACAATGGACTCAGAACAGATCCTTGTGAGACACCTAGTTTCATATCCAAAGGAACTGATGTAAGTCCATTACATTACAAATTGTATAGTATTATCATGAATACAACTAATTTGTATTAATATTGAAAGCTTCTGGTACATAATGAACAATAAAAGAGTATAATAATTTTCACAGTTTACACTGGAAATAGTAATAACAATAAATAAACTATTAGTCAGGCAGTGAAGGTAAATGAATCTACTTTCAACTCTAGTCTTTATTAAAAACACAAAGCATAATTATACTCTATGAATTTACATTTATAAATGTCTAATGGTCGTGTTCAAAGATGATCCCAAAAACAAAGCATTTGGGATCCAACACCACATAACTCTGTTTCGACCCGTCATATGTCTCATCAGTGGTACTAGGCTAGGCCACGCATGCACTGTTCTTAAAGTGCAAGCCTGCGTATAAGTAGGCATCGACATCTTCTCTTAAAAAACGCCATCTATAGGATCGACAGAAAACTCAAATTGAGCTTAACCAAACCAAACAACGATCTGTTGCGAAGCTAAGCTTCGACAGCGACTGCTGATCAAGAAATCGCTTTCTGTCCCTCTTTGCAGCTTTCACTGCAAGGCAACTAGATGAAAACAGAGCCTAAAGTTTTCTGTCGATCTCATAGATGACATCTTAAAGGAAGACACATCCAAGCTTATTTTACATGAAAAAAAAATAGAGTACCTCTTTCACAGACTCCCACTGACTGAAAAAATTCCAGATCATCAAGTTCTATAATAGACTATCACTGAAACATATTAACAAGGATACTGAAAAATTTATAATTGAATTCTACTGTAGCTCAAGTTCACTGTGTGTTCCTTAGTTGTGCACAAATTATTAGTATTGTAATGCGCATTTAATTTGAATATAGCACGAAAAGCATTTCTGTTTGAAGCAAAGAACTTCTCGTTATTCAATAATAAAAGCTCACCCTCAACGTTTTGTGCCTTGTGCGTTCAGGAAACAGCCTATCCAAATCACTATCGTCACTAGATATTTGTTGCTGGACCCTGGGACGATGGAACCTTTGTTCCCGTTGATGTTGAATATCGAAAGTTTGCGCTAGTGCAAAATATGCATAATCAATGCAAGCGTAAGTTAATAGGAAAGGCATCGTTACGATCGGAGCCAGAGTATTTATTTCTCCAATGAATATGAAGGCAAATGTTACCATGGCTACTACCCCCATGGAATATAATGGCACTTTGTTTGGTCCTCTCTGAAAAATACAAAACCGTTCACTTCAAATATTCACGACAATTTACCCCCATTTCGTTGTACAAGCTGTCTGGAAAATCAAGAGAAACACTTGTTTGTGGTTTCCCCATTTTCTGAATAATTGTCCTGGTAACACTACCTGGATATATACTGTCTGTTCAAAAAATAAGATGAATTTTCCACTTGAAAACATTTTTCTGACTAAGAGTACAATCACCGTATATCACTGTCAAAATTCAAAGTGTTTTTGAGCACTTAATTTAATTTTTTACACAAAATTTGATGCAAATTTTCGATGCTTTTTTTTATAGCAGAAATCGGCTGAACACGCAAAACACTTCTAACTTTTATCCCTCTCACCAACAATCTAAAGATGCTAAAGAGCTGAATCGGTGAACATGTTCGTTCGTAGCCCACAAAATTTGATCATTCACCTCATTTTTTGAACAGTCAACGTAACACACTCCAACACGTGTATCTGAACATTGTGATAGAGGAGTTTGCACCCTCGTTGAATGAGCAATATATTAGCAAAAAAAAAAGTTGCCTCTCCTCAAACTATTCTACATGATTTTCAGTCTGTTACCTGTGAAGGAAAGTGAAAATTCATTTGTATTTTGCTCATACAGACCAGGAAACACACAATAAGAAACTGACAAACAGCTTATGGACATAATAATCCGAAGCAAAAGCTGGCAATTTATTTAGCTAGGTATCAGTCAAACGTCAAAGCACCCAAAAACTATTTTTTCATTCATATACGATATATAGTTTCCAAATAGAATAGAATAGAATTTATTCATCATCAAAATATCATACACATATAACATATACATTACTGGTACAATATTTATCAGATTAGTCACACAAACTGAAGAAAAAGCAGCTTATACATTCAAATCTTAAAGTTCTTCGATATTGTAAAAGGCATTTTCTAGGAGAAGGTCTATTAAAGCTTTTTTTAATGTATTGTAATTTTCAATATTTCCTAGTGACCTAGTTGCTTTGTTATAACATATGACTCCTTGATAGCTTGCCGAGTCTTACCCAAGGACTAATCGTGAGTAAGGTAATCTCAGTTCATTTCCTTTGCGAGTTTTGTGATCATGTATCATACTTTCTTTTGTAAAGTGTGATTAATTTCTTTTGATATTCATAGTTATGAGCAAAATATATAAAGACGGTAGTGTTAAAATAGCTAAATCTTTGAAAACTGTCTTGCATGATCGTCTACAATGTATGCCAGCGATACATCTAATTATTTTTTTTTTTGATAACAAACGCTTTTGTTAGGTATGCTGAGCTTCCCCAGAATATTTACCCATATTAGATTGTACTAATCTGTAATAGGCCAATTTGAGTACTTCTAGAGATACTGTTCCATGTAGTTGTCTTATTATGAAGCAGACTCTACTCAGTTTTGTTATTAGATAATCTGTGTGTTTTCGGGTGGTAGTAAATTGAAAAGTTTTGGGCCAAAGTAATATACAGATTTCTGTGAATGACTTTTTTTGAATGAAGGTAGATGGATAGACCTTTTCATCACAGATCTGGTCTCTTTTTCAATAGTTGAACTTTGGTAATTTACTTAGAAACACAAATGTAGTTATATCACTTACCCCCATTCCCAACATTCCAATTCCTGGAATAACATTCTCCAGAGCAATGGATTGTAAAACTCTAGGCGTGCCATACATTGCTCCCAAGCAACTGGACATAGAAGACACGTACAACCCAGCTAAGAACAACACTTGAATAACCGACACATCCTTCGCTATCATGAAGTTTGTTAGTAGTGAGAGTCGACTGCATGTAGCTCCCAAAAATATAACAAACACTAGGTACAGAAATGTTCCGGTACTGATTGCGGCTAGCGTACCGTTCGGTATATTTGTGGATGGAGCTCTGAGATCGCCGCTCATATTGATACCAGAAAGAATTCCTGTTACTGTTGGAAAGAATACGCCAAAGACGGTGAACCAACTGTAACCTTCACTATAGTTAGGCCACATGTTTTGCACCAGATTGTTACTGACCCAACCTTCAAATCCATTACCTGTAAGAAAATGAAGTGTGAATTCTGCTCATGACACTTTAAGTTGCAGCTCAGAGAAAATTTAGAAAGACGTAAACGGGTTTAAAAGTCAAAAATGGTTTTTCATTTTAAATAAAGAAAATTTGAAAATTCTGGTAGATACACCTGAATGAAAATTTTGTTGCTAAACAAAAAATAGTCTAACATTTTCATATACACTGCACTTGCATTTTGAGTACAGTAAAACCCTGTTGAACATAATAAAGGGGGGGCAGCCGATAACGATGGGGGGAAAGGTTATGAATTACAAACGATTTCTGTAGGTTTTACTTTGTGCTTTTTTGTTTAGAAACAATGCAATGCGATTTAAAAATTAATATTTTAGGAAGGATTATTTTTTATGAAGAAAAAACCTTTTTGGCTTTCTACTTCTCCACTGATCAACATAAATGTGGAAAACTCCCAGAGAAAGGAAGGAAATAAATTTAATAAACACTTTTCATGAAGATATGTATGCTCTACATATCTTTACGAAGAGTTTTTTGTAGTAGAAATGAAAAAAAAATCACAAGAAAATGCACAAACGATAATTGAAATAACTTATTGTATCAGTTTATTCATATGCATTGTTTCGGTTGACTGGGGTTTCCGTTGACTCAAGTTCTTTTAACCAGGGTTTTACTCTTTCATTTAGAAAGTGATAGTTTTTTCTTACCAGTATCAGTATGTACAAAGCTGCCAACCATAAAATCAAGACCAGCCGATAGCAAAATCAACAACAAAATGAACTGAAGTTTAATAACCCACTTCACCCCTGCAACATTTATCACACTTAGTAGGACTACAGCTGCCATTGCAATTAAGCGAATCGCCCATCTGGAGTCACCTAAACCAATCAATTCAGCCATCGATTCTCCAAATCCAAGAACATTCAGTGCACAACCCACAGCCTGAAAAAACAAATTATAAAATCAAAAATTCATGAGGAGGTTAATTAACTCAGCTGAACCCTCAAAAAAAATTTTGCAAAGCGTATCCACTTTATTATACAAACCATTGATCTAATCATTAAGGGTTGCCATTCAAGTTTTTACAAACAACCATTAGATGGCGCCACTGAAAAGAAGCGTTACAATATTCATAAAATTCGTCCTCTATTCAGTCAATCACTTAATTGATTTTAAGAAAGGCTGAACCCAACAAGAATGTAGAGAATTGCTTCATTTACATTTGATTTTAGAATATCATCATGGGTATGTATCCGTCAATGATGAATTTTGTGTAGAGCGACGAATATCGGTTGTTATACCAAAAAACATTGATTCCGTGATCAAGATGATTGAAGAAGATAGGCTGCAGATATATCGTGAGATATATCTGCAGATATATATCGTTAGTATATCACAGATAGCAATACATTCGATTTTACATGACCAAGTATAGAAATATTTGTTTCAGAAGGATTCCATACACTTTAACCTTCTCTAAAAAGAAATCAAGGTATAAATTGGTGTATAAAAATACTCAAAAATTCCAATTTGCCTACAAAACCGGAAACTAAGCAACTCCACTGAACATATCGCATATCGAAAAAATGTGTGGACTGCGATTTTCATCACACCAAGAAGCATTTGAGGGCTTCTAAAACCATGTTTTAAAGTTATAAACATCAAAGTTAACTATTTAGGGAATTGGTATGAATGCAAAAAATTTGTTGATTTGTTTGTTTGTTGACTTAAAAGATGACCCACTGTAATTATACACAAAACTTTTTCAATGTTGTATCAAATAGTGAAAGCAATAAAGAAATTTGACACTCCTCTTTAAGATACTAAGATAGGTAAAGCATTTTATGTATTTCAGAACCAATATATTCCACGGAGTATATTATTTTATATTTACCTGTCCAAAACAGTAAATCACACCAAGTGCACCTCCAAATTTTGATCCCAAGGTATGCGCAATAACAAAATAAACTCCTCCACTCTCAATTCGACATCGTTCACATATTCCCACAGCCGACAAGACAGATACTAAGGCGGTAAATACTAAAAAGAATACAATGTCATTTAAAACTTCTAAAACTCAAAGCTCTACAACAAAAAATCGCTTCTGCTACAGTTATATTCACAGAAACAGATTGTTAACAATACATAACTCATACAGCCATTGCCTCATAACTTGGCAAAAGAGGGGTAACACGGACAAATAATTTTCAAATAGAAACGACTCTTAATATAACAGAGGCTTTCTATAATTTATATCATTTCACTGTGAGCGTAGGACTTGGTACATGCTGAAATATTTACTTTGATCATATCCCTGTTACTTATAAGCATAAATTTACTCTCAATTTCGAAGGATTCCCAGGGATCCGCATGTATTGTTTTCTATAAGGCCTTTTGAACATAACCCCAATGTACAGATCTACTCTCAAGCAAGAAAAAGAAATATATTACGAAAACCATAAGGTGTCTATGCAATGCCAATTACAGAAATTCATCTAGAAATCTGTTGACTGTCAATTAAATCACTCCTACTTTAGTGTAGAAAGGAATCCATCTTTCACAAAAATGGAAAAATAAGTCAACAATTTGCTTCTTGGCAAGTATAAAATGAAATCCAACTGATGAAAAAACCGTTACATACTGGTAGAATTTCTTGCAGTACATTTGTGAGTTTAATATTGTGTAAATGCACATTTCAAAACCAAGTACAAACCGAATTTATTACAACAATAAAATCTACTGTCAAAACTTGACCCCTCTTCAAATATGTTTCATTTGATAATAATAATCATGAAAGTGATTGAATTCTTTATTTTTCATAATTTGTCATTCAATGACTTAGCTGGTTATACAGCAATAGCTGTAAGTTTATAGAGAATATTTTTGTAGTTCTGAATAATAATGGGTTTGTTACTAAAAACTTATATTCAGTATTCGAGATTTTCAAATTATTGTTAATGCCCTGCAACAGAAACATTAATTGTTCTAACTTTAGTTATAACCTAACCCAACTTCAGTTAGAACAAAAAATGTAGCTATTTGAAGAAAATGGTAAAAATATATCAATACTTGTAAATTTCAGTTATTTACAGAGCAATATCATTGAACATTTGTTCTCACTCTGAAGGTGAGAATGTCTTGTTGGTTGAAAAATTCAGTAATGTTTGCCTAGATTGAACAACCATGAAGCTGAATAAGTGTTTATTCAAATGATCGTTTATTCTATGGAAAAATACGATGGCTCAAAAACTGATGTTTTCGAGAACATGTAGAATTTCAGAAAGTTCAGAACTACAAACTATCCTGTAGGTAACTCATCGAAAATTCACACCAAACACTTGAAAATATAAAGCATATTCATCTACCTGTAAACAAAACTATAGTAATAGCACTACATACTCCAGCTTGACTAACTATCCATCCAGATCGTAAAAAGACTATCACACCAAAAATGTTAATTAAGCAAGATGTGAAAACACCATCCCACGTCCCGAACAAAACCGGTTGGGAAATGAAAAAATTAGATTTCCACCAAGGTACATCTCCCTAAACAAAATACCAATTATTACATTTTGTGTAATTAATTCAGTCAAGAAGAGACTTATGTAAGTGTTTCAACAAATAAATTTGGATACGAGTAGCATACAATAAAATAGGCCAAGAAAAATATGTATAAATAAATATTATATGCATGCATGAGTCAGGAATTATACAGGGAATTTTCAGTTGATATAAATTTTGGAGAATTTGTAGATAAAATGAAAGGCTCTGAGACATAGCACCATTATGACCTTATGTGAAACATGAATTTGTTCCAACACCAAATTAGAGATGTTCTGAACCTGCTTCCTCTTTGTAACACAAACATAAACTCTTCTCAAGACTGAAAGTTATCTGTGATGTTAGCCACATAATATATGTATTTCCAATATATTACACTCCCACCTGTTCTTCTGCAAATAATTCATTAGCACTTGAAGCCTGGTGTCCACCAGCCCCATATTCATTGGACAAATCTATGAAACCAGTTGTGTTCGCTCTTACTCTTTGAGCAGTTTCACTACCCAATCCAAACCTTGACCAATTTATATCCTTATTTCTGTTTGCATCCCTAGTGTTGCCTCCGTTTTCCATTTCTTTGGATCCTGAAATATGTACATTCAAACACTTCCTGCATTGTGTATATGGAAATATAGAAATGAACCTTTTTTTCTATCCTTCCCAGACTCATAAAATTTGTTTATAAAATATGTTTGGAGGATATGCAATGTTTTCCATTAGTTGATATATCAGATAAGTATCTTGTCACGAAAAATTATCTCGTCTCATTGGCTGCCCAATATTCCTTATGACGAATTTATTATTTTCAAATAAAACATATTTTACAAATTACGAAGTCTAAAAATGTCAAATTTCAATTGACAACCCAACAAATTCCTCTTTCATCTGACATGGAACACCACGTGACAGAACTACATCACGAACACTGTCACAGAACAACAGAACCTAACCACATCACAAAATAAGATGTATTTTATGACCAAACCAAATTTATGTCACTTCTACGATAGAGAAATTTAAGTAAAGATTCGACGTATCTTACTTTTGCGAAAATATACTCATAAATGATCCATTCACAGCTGTTACTGTAGATTATTAGTGATCAGATCACAAAATACAGTATAGTTCAGAAATTGGAGAACGGTGTTGACACAAACTGCTCTCATTTTGCACAAGTTTATTGTCAGCACATTTTACGAGCCTCAACCAATTGATTCTCAATCAAATTCCTCTAGTGATTAGAAGCTTAAGTTAGGTCAAGTTACTCCTGTGCTATAATGGAAAAGGAAGTGTTCCGAGTCAAGTAAAGTTGAATTAGATTCTTTTCTTTAAAGAAAAACACCCCTTTTTAGAAGGACACGATGTTTAATGATCATCAGATTTTTAATCTCATTTCATTTTTCACATTCCCAATTTTCAATTTTTATGGCTCCTGAATTACCGTTTTATCTCAGTTAACTTTCAACGTTTCGTTTTGAAAATACATCATTAATTATTTCATATGACTTTTTGTGAGTACGGTCCTGCTATAATTCAATAATAGAAGGAGCATATTAAAAAAATAGCCAATCGAGAAGTCTGCTTCATCTTGGTTGATGAAATGCACGTCGAAAAGAGTGTTGGAGTTTCGGTGTTTGGAAGCAGGCCTTGTTTTGAGTATGTTAATATTCATATTCAGTTGACTTTCTCAACAACAAATGGTATTTCTCTTTTGAGCATTTTCTATAAAAATTTAAGATATTTCCAAAAATGCCTTCAGAGACAGAATGCAACCATTCAACCAATGAAATTTGAAATTACTTTTATTTCATGTTTTGATGTATATGTGAATGAGGATGACAGCTTAGTTCAGCCTCCGTCCCTGAGATGGCAGCAAAAAGAAACGATATTTTGTTACAATGCAGTTACTTTTCAAATTATTCAATCGAACTACTCTTCCCAAGAAATGTTTCTTCAGCTTCTCATTTTTATACCAACGCTTTTCATTTGAGAATCTTAGAGGAGATTCCGAAGTTTTCACTGATATTTTTGAATATTTTCATTATTTCACTTTCATTCGTGATGTATTAATAGAGAAAGAGAATCCCAAAAAGGGTTTCACCGAAAAATAAACGCATCCAAAAGATGTTTTATAGATATGTAAGGTGGGTTTACGAAAAAAATAAGATAACATAAGAAACAAAATAAAATACAGCAAGAAGTTTAATAACAATATACCCATTCACAAAAAAGTAAGGAGGAAAAGAAGAAATAACTATCAACCAATCATAATCAAAGCAATTTTCGAAAATAAGTAAGTTTGTAGGTTATACATTTTTTAAATTCAAAATTTCGGGAATTTTGTAAGAAAATGATTGATGATAACTATGTAATTGAACAAGATAAAATTTCATCAAAACTGTCAAAGTTTCAAATTACTAGGACATTCGGAGCATGCCCTTTTTTTGGTTTATTCATTTTATTAACGTTCTCCCTCGAGAGTGTATATTTCACTTTCTTATTTCACTCTAAGTATTTCATTCTTCATTTTATCCTACTTTTTTTTATAAGACCCCTGTATTATTTAAAGAGGAAGCAAACACGTTACACTAAATCTGAATATAAGTATTTTTCCATTTTTTTGAAGAGTTCTTTCCAAATTTCAAGTATTTTCCATCCAAAGTCCAACATTATCCTTTATTTCAAACAACCAATCCTATCTAAAACACAGTAATTGAATACATTATTACGAATGATCTTTAAACACTGGGGCGCCAACAAATACATTTTTATCGACTAATACTAGGAGAAATCTTATCAGTCACGCGAGTCTTCATTTATTTGAATAATGATAAGACCAATAACTTTTGTTGCTGTATTTTTTGTATACTGGGGCCTCATGCAGCTGTAATTACCATTTACTTTCAAAAAAGGAGAAAAAAAATTGATTTTCAGAAAAATCGCTAATCATCCATTAGTCTACTTTCTCTGGTTGATGTTAATTTTAGTTTAGGCTGAGTATGGCGATCCTGAATATATTGAATTCTGAAGTTGCATATCGTCGTGAATCCCTTCTGTTTACTACGGTACCTGTTATGCACATATTCATCTCAGAAGAAATAGAAATCTCGTCAAGATGCCTGCGGCCACAGTGAAAGTTCTCGCTGGATAATCAACGCCCGTGATTATAGCCCTGTCAATGAAGAGTTGTTATTTGTTTACATAAAGAGTGGTCCAACGAAAAGTATGCACTTTGCTTTTCTCCTTTTTTTGTAAATTAACGCAAAAATGCTCGGATACGTCAATTTTGCTTTTGAGGGGGACACATTTGAGATGTATTTTTCTACCTGTGCCACAATTGATTTATACATTAATCTGAGAAGTGAATTAATTATGTTATTTGAATAAATTTTAGATTGATAGTTATGCATTGATATTATTCAGTACCTTTTTGAAAAAGTAAATGCTTTCCGCACGTGTAGGAGAAAGTCAACTTTGGCCAAAACATTAGTGTCTCATCATAGTAAATCAATCTGATCAGTAATATTCTTACTTCATTATCAAAACTTATCTAAAATTCAGTTTTTCACTACAACTGAAAAAATTTCTNTCATAAATTGCGGTGAAAGTCGAAATTACGAAATAAAAGTCGAAATTACGAGATAAAAGTCGAAATTACGAGATAAAAGTCGAAATTACGAAATAAAAGTCGAAATTACGAAATAAAAGTCGAAATTACGAGATAAAAGTCGAAATTACGAGATAAAAGTCGAAATTACGAAATAAAAGTCGAAATTACGAGATAAAAGTCGAAATTTCGACTTTTGAGTCGGAGGTGAGTTACTGCTGAACTGTTTTTAGAATTACAGAACATCGCTTTCCCCAAATGTTATAAAAAACTGATATATGTAAGTATTCTTGAAACATATAAAACTTGTAAAAGATCGACTGGGCTATTGCTCGTACAATTTCTCCGCGATCGAAGCTAATAGAAAGGGGTGTCGGTGAAAGTGCCATAGCGCATGCTTTGGTCGGATTATAACGAAATGTGCTGTGCAATCAAACAATGCTCGCTATCACTTACGCTCGTATAATGAAATTGTTTTTACATTTTGAGTGATTAATTTGTATGCATCGTCGATTGTTTCCAGTGACAAACGGATTTTAGAATAGAGCACGATGGCAAACGAAAACGTTTGTTTAAACGATAAAATCGCTCTGATTTGCACCTTCATAGTGGGATTTCAACTGATTAGATTTCTGTTCAGGACATTGTATAACAATTTTCTTGCCACTACCCTGAAGATAAACGCTGTTAATTTGAAGGAAACTGGAAAATGGGCAGGTTAGTCCTAATACAATTATTCAAGTGAAAATATACTTTCGACAGTAAAGTGGATTATTTCACATCTTTTTTGAAAACTTTGTTTGTCAGTGAATTTCCGCAACTCATCAAAAACTGATCAATTTCCATACACATTCAGTGGCCATCGAAAGAGATATCATACTGTGAATATCCAGAAATATTTCTTATTCTACAAATTCCGAAACTGAAACCAAGACTTTAGTTCTGTGAAATGAATCCAATGTGTATTACGTAAGTTTTGAAATATTACAAATAATAGTCACAGTAGCATCGACTGCGGAAGCGCAAAACGGCTACATATTATTACTATTTGTTTCTTGGAAATTACGACGTTGAATCTCGAAAAATCGACTTTAATTTCACAAACTACATGGCAAACGATTTAAACTTCACAAACTTTATTTCTAACAAATAATAGTTTAAAATTAAAAAAAAACACGCTCTAATAACAACACAAACTAAAAACTAATTTGAAACTAATTCAAGATTGTGTTCAACATCGTTAATAAGTGAATAGAACTGGCCGATACTTGAAAATCCATAATAAAACTCATCAATACAATTTATTGTATGATTTTCACTATAACGGCTTTTACAAAAACCGCGACACGTGTTTCGCTATACAACAGCTTTCTCAAGCAAACGTTTCGAAAAACACTTTGTGAGATTTTAACTATACAGTTTTACAAGCCATTGTATGACGAAACACGTGTTGCGTTTTTGTAAAACTGTTCAGTGGAAATCTCACAATAAAGTGTTTTTTGAATACGTCAGTTATGGATTTTCATCAAGTATCGGCCAATTATATAGCTTTCTCAAGCGTTAATAATAAGTTACTTCTAAATTACAACTCACTTGCTCTCACACAGTCTCTGTGTGAGAAAATTGTTTAATCCTGGCGATCCTGATCAGGATAATGGGATAAACTTATAAAATAATTGTATTGTCACCGATTTTTGATATGCGTACAAAGTTTAAAATACATCTGTCCGTTTTATTCAGATCGAGAATATCAGTGGTTGTTTTTGAAATATTCGCCGAAAACTAGAATCGTCTAATTCCTACCCATTTCAAATGTTATAAAAAAGCAGATGAACTTTCAAAACTGTTCCATATTTGTTATAATCTGATATAAACCAATTTGCAATGCGACGATTCGTTCGTTAGATTTCATCATCGGCTTTACTTTTTCAAATACGGTTCTCTAGTTATTTTCATAGCTGCATTTGTTATTATAGTGACTACAATGGATTTTAGTTCTAAAGTGAATTTTTAGTGAAAGAGAATGTGTTTATATTTTTTTTCGCCTAGCTATGAATGTTAATTATACGGTGAACACTGTGGACAGTTATGAGAGAGGATTATCGATAGATGTAATAGAAAGTTGTTATTCTTTCAATTTGAATATTATGAATATGGAACAAAAATGATATATGTTGACGTAGGAGTGAAGTCACTATGGGAGAGTATATTTAACTAAAATAAAGCTGGATTGATGATCATAGTGACTTGAGAAGCTGAACGATCGATAACCATCTTCATAGTTGCTCAATTTAACTCATCAGCTTATAAAGTTCTCCAAAATTTAACTTTTACTCACGACGACTCTTGAGCAGTTTGGAACTGTACATGATCATATCACGGTCAGATATCAAAAATGTCAAGCAAATGAAGCTTTTCTTCATTTCCTTGAATCATCAAATTGATAATTTTTGATTACATTTTGCAAACCAACAAAGCACAGTTTTCCAAAAATTTTCTTTCGGCATTTATTGACAATAATTTGAGAGCTACTTATTTAAAAAAAAATTGCATGAATGAAATTTAAGTTCATATAATAGAACACAGTACGTTGAACGGACTGACGTCTATCAGAAAACAACTACTTCCCTGGCTAATATAATGGGTTAATGCAACATACCTAACAACTGAATCTAAGACGAAGATTAATAGACCAAAACCATTACATATGACGAGAGCGTTTATGGAACATCAATTCGAAATGAGACTTATGCCTGATGCCTGGAAAGTTGGCCAACATTCAACAAGTTACTAAGAGCTTAGGTCAAAACGATTGTTTTAAACTACCGTGTATTATAATTGTAAAAATGAACGAGAAAGTGAAGAAGGGAAAACTAATTCGTCAAACTGAAACTTTTAAAAGGGAGAATTTATTTTTGGGGTGACCCTGATTGTCTTTTTTCTGGGGGGAGTGATAAATGCTGCTGCATGCTTCTTTACAAGTAGTAAGGTACCTTTTATTTAGGATTAGATATCTGAGTAATCCACATCGAAGTCTTGACTGAGAGCAAAGCAAAAAAACAAAAAATCGCGATTTATTCCACAGTTAAAAGCTTTATCTATTTGAAAGTCCAGCTCTTCCGATGAGAGTCAAATAATGAATATAATGATAATAATAATAATGTTTATTCATAAATTGCGGAAAGCTACAGAAAGTCAATTCATACAAAATCAAATGATGCAAAAAAAACTCAATGATATGAGGTTGAGAATGAACAAAAAATCCACAAGAGCTGAATACATCAGTTTGTGCGTGGTGACATAGTATTACGGTGTGATGATGAATCAATATAAAACATATCAGTTGAAATCTCAAGCTGGTTCAGCGTGTGATTCGTAGGATATCAAGCTACTGATAACGTTGAATATGCAATTCATGAATGTTAATGAACCTTTGTCCTGTTTGATTAACATTGCAAATTGAACTAAAAATCAGCGCGTTTGCCGTATTCCACGTCATTTAGCCTGACATTATTTTTTTCATGGTGCTGATAAGCTCAACATATTTTTCAAGCGTATCTACGCTGATGATTTGAATAATCGTTCACCGACTCAAGGCTGACTTCCTTTTGTAAAATAAACGCAGAATATACTTCTTCGCTACTGTGTGTTTCAATGATAAAATTATCAAGCGCAAAAATATCAGTTGATAATATACAGGATGTTTCCTAACTGCGGTGCGAAACTTCAGAGGGTGATTCGTTAGGTTGTTCAAAGAAAAAAAGTTATCAATAACATATTTTATTTACGGACGGAGAAAATTTTTGATGATGAACTTTCACAATGACCAATTTTGGGCCGACGAAAATCCTTACTTTAAATATTAGAGAAAGTCATTTTCAGCAACAATTTTCGCTGAACGTTTAGGTAGGAATGATTGGTGACTATTTAATTGTCCCATATTTTCTACCAGCAAGATTAACAGAAGAATCCTACACGGACTTTTTGCGGAATCATTTACCCATTCTGTTAGAAGAACTGCCGGTACTTGTGAGATGCAACATGTGGTTTATGCACGACGGGGCTCCAGCTCATTTCAGTGTTCTTGCTCATCATCATCTCGACATCACCTACTCTAATCGCTGGTTAGGACGTGCAGGACCTCGAAATTGGCCAGCTCGCAGTCCTGATATGAATCCTTGACAATTGCAATGCCATAAAGAATACTCTAGGTATTTTGAACGTGTCGGACAATCAATGACAAATCGATTGCAGTTGTGCATTTTATCAGAAGTGGGACATTTTGCTCATTTACTTTAAGGTCAAAATTGTTTATTATTCACTTCTGGTTTTTATTTTATTTTGTCCGTGGATAGTTTTCAGAAGTGATTTTTTTTCTCGAAAACCAAACTGGATATGAAGAAGACACAAGCAACGATCAAGAAAATATTTTATCTAATGAAAGATATCCAAAATTTATGAACCAGAACAAATTCATATACAGTGTGTGTTCAGGGCCGTCGCCATGGGGGGGGGATGGGTGGAGGAGCCTGCCTGCCCCCCCTGTTTTTTCGACTTGGGAAAAAGTTGAGAAATTTTGGGCCGTGAAGACAGAAAAAATAATAGTAGAAAACAATAAGCACAATATTATTTGAGTGTTGTTTCCTTTCATTTGTATTGAATATTCTTATACATGGTGGATATGGTGGAAAACCAAGGACCTTGGTCCAAAGTAGAATAATTCGCATTATTATTTTTATAATTACCAAAATTTATTTTTGTTTGTGCATTACCTAACAGGCATAAGCATTCAGCCAATCTTTGGATAGCTAAGTAAGAAGATTAATATATTATAGTAGTAACTAATCCCTCGGCTTTCATTTTTTCGAAAGTTGGGAAATTTTGCTGGTGGGGTTGGGAAAATTTGTATCCCCCCCTGGTTTCTCTTTTCGCTACAATTTATTTATTTTTTTTTTCAGTCGTTACTGGAGCCACTGATGGTATAGGGAAAGCATACGCAGAGTTATTGGCAAAAACTGGATTTAATGTAGTCCTCATAAGCAGAACACAAGCCAAGCTTGATGACGTAGCCAAAGAATTAGGTATGTGAATGAAATTTGCTTCTTTCATTACTGACAAATTTGTTCCTATTGACTATTATTTACTACAGGTTTTGATTTGGTCTCTCTGTGTAGTAATAAGTTTGTGGAACTGGTTGAAAAATTAATAAAAAATGAACCGTGAGAGAAATGCTAAATCGACTGAAAAATAACTGAATTCATTTTCAGTTCAAGTTTTATTTTAGGAAAGTATTACATACTATTAGCTCATCAAAATATGTGCTACAGATTGATAAAATATCTTCCCAGAGATGAATCAAAAGAAATACTTGAAAGAACAAGATGATAACCCCAAGTCACCATATTATCAGAAAATGATAACATCATTTCATTTTTATATAGTTCATATAGTTCACAGAAGTGACAATTCATCAACAATGAATCTTCAAGTTCAGAAAGATATATCAATAGTGACTGAACTCTAGATTTTTACTCAACTTTGCTGAAAAACTGGCACAAATCAATCAAGAATGGATAGCACTTTTCCCCTCCACTTATCAACATTTAAAATCTACATGCAACCCCTGTAATTGAATTTTTTTTATTCCATACCGGTAATAACCCTTTTAGACTCTATTTATAAATAGTTACGAATGTGAGGCTACTATTAATTACATCACCCGCGAGAAACTTCAATGATGGACAAGTTCTATGCTTAATGATATGTTACAAATGTTGTCTTCGTAATAATGTAATAAAATTTCTTCGTATTATTATGCAATGGTGAAATGGTAAAATTCATCTATAAATATCATATAATGAAAGAAAAAAAACAAGTTATTAGTTGTCGATTTGCAGTTTTTCAACCTGTTTTTAGCTCAGGAGCTATTTGACGTTGTTCATTTCTTACAAGTTTCCGGAGAACTCTGCAGACTCATGGGCTTATTGCATTTTCTCCCATCTTTTACATAAACATCCATTCAAACAATAATATTTCCCATACAAGTCTCTTGTTGCCTTCTATGACCTGTATTCTGTAAAATATGACGAACTGTCTCTTTGTCACGATCCCTGAAACTTAGAGATTTTCGTATCATGACCCTATTTTGTTCAGATGTTCCAGTTGGTAGCCCTGGTGAGTATTTCGTCAGTTCTTGTCTCAGACAGTCCCTACATAAATAGTTCACAAGTGTGTTCCCACCTGAATCTTCCCAGTATTTTCTGCGGAATTGTTTGCCGATCATTTCGCAAATGCAGCAGAAATAGCTTTGTCAAATCACTTGGGACAGAACATGGTCCTTCCTTGCACCCTCGTAAAAGAAATCAACATCAAATTTCCATTTAAATCGTCACCCATCACTGAATACGAAATATCGAAAACCTTATTTGAAATGAAGAACAAATCATCCTCCTTCTATTATTACTATCAAACATATATTTCCCGCTATTATTAAACCACTAACTTTTCTTATAGAACAATCTCTCGTGCAAGGAATCTTTCCTGATGCTTTAAAAAAAGGCACTTGTGGTTCCTCTCCCCAAAAAAGTTAATTTAAATGAAATTGACAATTACAGGCAAATATCGCTGTTCTGTTCCTTATCCAAATTGATAGAAAAGATAATAGTAAACAGAATAACCGATAACCTGGAAAGCAACAACATACTCTCAACCTCTCAGCACGGTTTTGTTAAAAAGAGATCCATTGAATCAGCTTCCTACCATCTTCTCGATTACATTTACACTCAGATTGATAATAATAACTACGTCTTATCACTATTCTTTGACCTATCGAAGGTATTCGATACGATGTGCGTAGTATTTCTTTTGAAAAAAATAAGTCATAAATTGGATCAAATCCTACATAATGGGATGAACTATGTACGTCTCTTGTTACAATGTACTTTCTGATTCTCATGCCGTAAAACTTGGTGTCCCCCAAGGATCTGTTATCGGACCACTACTCTTTCTCCTATATTTTAACGACATGCCTCAACATGTAAAAACGGGTTATGTTACAATGTTTGCCGATGATACTACCATTACCATATCAGGTTCAACTGTTGAACAACTTGCTTCCAACCGTTATCGATGATTTCAGCTCCTGGTGTCAGAGAAATAAACTAATCCTCAACACCTCGAAGTCAGTGGCCGTGAAATTTTACAGGAAATGGCGACCCCGCAACGTTATCGAAATTTATGACTTGCAAACGTCCACAGAAGTAAAATTCCTGGGTATTCATCTTGGCGCCAACCTAAATTGGGAAAAATAAATTAATCATGTATGTGCAAATCTAAACAAAGCCTTTTACGCTATATGGCAGATGACGCCCAGTTTAGATGAAGCAGGCCTACTAAATATTTTCCCTGAAGTGTCTCATAAACTACAAAAGGATCATACCTCCTTGCATTTTCGTCAGTCGTTTATCTGTATTTCTATAAACTTTTCAACCAAGTCTCGGAGAAACACCAAGGTACCTTGCTAGTACCCATTAAGTAAGATTAGAATATTTGGAAGTGACATTTTAAATGGAAAATTTGTTGACCACAGATTTACGGTACCCAACAACCCACATTTCTTGATAGAACAACTAGTATAAGTATCTATTTCACTCATATTGAAAAAAATTGAAAAAGTGGATGAAACTACCCATGGAACATTTATCTATTTTCATCTGTTGGTAAATAAGCCAGTGCTCTACTTACCAATTTGTTCTAACAAAAAAAGAACCTATTTGAATACTGTAGAGAAAATCTTCTGCAAAGTTCATGTCTATTTTTCAGGAGGAAAGTACAGAGTGGAGTTTAAAACAATTGCTGCCAATTTCACGGATTCCGAGGGTATTTACCATGACATAGATAAACAGCTCACAGGCCTGGATATCGGAGTACTCGTCAACAATGTCGGCATGAGCTACTCTTATCCCGAATACTTCTTAGACCTCAAGAATAAGGACGAAATCTACACTAATATAATCAACTGCAACATCTTCTCCGTAACCAACATGTGCAAAATCGTACTTCCTGGAATGGCTGAGAGACGACGAGGTGTGGTGATCAACATTTCCTCCACTGCTGCGCAGATTCCCAGTCCCCTGTTGACAGTTTACTCTGCATCTAAAGCGTATGTTGTTAAGTTTTCAGAAGACCTCTCTGCAGAATATGCTAAATTTGGTATTACCATTCAGTGCTTGTTACCAGGGTATGTCGCCACCAATATGTCCAAAATCAGGTCGTCCACGTGGATGGCACCTTCACCGCTCAATTATGTTAGAGAAGCGATGAAGACCATTGGTGTCAAAGAGAAAACTACAGGGTATTTTCCTCATACTCTCCTGGTAGCTGTGGTACATAGTATGGACTACTTGTCGCCGAGATTGTCACGCTGGTTTATCACTAGAACCATGACGAATATTAGGGCAAGGGCATTACGGAGGGGAGTGAACTAAATGATTTCATATTGATTGTTTTAATTTATTCGTTATAGAAATAAAGTTGTTGATGTGTGTTTGTTTTATAACCGAAATGGCGTCTCACTAGCAGACCTAACAACCTCACAGCTGCAGAATAAAACCTAGACTTCACGGTTTTTATCATTTTGACGTTAGAGGTGGACGAACAGTTTTGAACGGGGAATATCTGTCCATTTTTTGAAAAGTCGATCTGACCCTTTGGTCTCTCTTGATTCGTGAGAAATTACAAAATACTTCGACTGATCTTTTTTTTATTATTTAAATTGTTTATTGTCCCTTCAACCATTCAGGTTATTAGAGACGGCATATAACATGTCATAGTAAACATAAAAATGTGAATAGATAGATACAGTTGATCTAATATAATCTAAATTCCATTGATTGAACCAATATCAGTTAAAAAACTAATCAATAGAGTTTATTCTATGATTTTCACTATAAGAGTTTTACAAAAACCGCGACACGTGTTTCGCTATACAATAGCTTCTTCAGCATAACTGAGAGAAACAAAACACACATCTAGAGAATTGAATAATTGTAAACTAGAAGCACATCAAAATAATTAGGAATATACTTTGAAATGGGCATTTCCAAGCTATGTTCTGAAAATAATTCCAAAAGAACTGACACTCTAATTATATTCTCCTTATCTACCAACTGATTTCAGCTGTCTCCTTTATTCCAATATTTTGAGGCTGTAAATATTCTTGATAGAATTTGGTAAAGCAACCAACATCTCTCTACGAAATTCAACCCTAAAATGTCAAAACTTGTGCTAGCTGAAGATCAATGGTACCTTCAAACGTGCGATTCATATAACTTGTGTTGTCTGGGAAAGATAAAGGTTGAATGTACAATTAGGATGTCTCTTACGAAGATGTTATAGTTTTCTAGTCTTTACTGTGAGTTGGTTTGGTTGTTCCTGTGTTCAACGTTACTTACTCCTCCAGAATAGTGGAGTTATATCAATGGAAAGATTCTTCCCTGACACTTGTAATGGGACCTGGAATAAATACATTTACGTAAAAATTCTTATGATTTCTCAACAATTTGCTTTCAAAAATAAATTCTGTGAAAAAGAAACATCTGATACATAAAATGTTCTATCTTTTCGAATACCGCGTATATAGTTGGTTGCCTAAAATCTGCAGTAAATGCGTACATATTCTTTTACAATAAAAGAAAACTGCTCAGAGTGACGGGTAATCTTCTTATAATTTGTCATTTTTGTGGTAGATGGCGGCATTGGTAAACTTTTTTTAATCTTGAGTATTGTCTGAATCCTAAGGCAATGTCCTGAGTATATTTATTTTAATATATGAAATACTATTATTTGGAAGTATTTTTTCAAACAACGGTAATATCCATTGTATGTAATACATTCCAACCGTTCGAGTTTCAAATTGTTGAAGTCGTCTGAGTTTCAGCTTCCAAAGTATAGATGTCGCAGTAGGCATTTGTTATGTAAATAATCGTATTTTTCAAACCTGAATTACAAAGCAGAATAGTAATTAATGTCTCGCACATGAATACTAGGCATTCATTGAATATTTTTTAGCAGAATTTGTTCGAATAAATTTCATCCAATGATGCACCTAGTTTCATCTCCGGATGGTGCTGAATTTACTTTTTTTTTTTAAATCGACTACTAGAGTTGATATTACTGATGTGTTGAATGTCATGCATTTGAGAATAGTCGTTTTCTTGGTAAAATTTTTGAGCGACACTAGACTTTTCTAATCTTCCCGAGAACCGTGTAAAAATCCGTACCGGTTCCGATAATTTTTGAGTTCATCGCGTTCAATTAGAGAAACCCACATTCAGATAGTCGTGATTCAACAAAGATTTAAAAATGCATTGCGGGTAAAAATATTATACGTAGATGACTCACTCATCTGTGATAGCCATCTATAGGGTTCCGTGTAACGCTAATTTAAATAACCTCATTGTTTGTGTGTTTCAATTATACACCTCTAGATATGAAATATTGCTTACTGAACATATTACATCACCCATTTATCAGGTTGTATTCTTCAGATGACTGCTCATGATATCACTTAGTAGCCTTGAGTAAATTTTAGAATACTTCAATTCAATAACCTTGGAATTTTCACTTCGTTTTGAGTTTTAATTACAGTTCATGTGTTGAACTATTTCAAGTCTTTGACATGTAATTCGATTATAATGGTTACTGTGAATATTTTTTTCATTAAAGGTGGATCACATTTAAAAGTGAGAAGACTTGGGAATGTTTTTAAAGGAAAATGTCTAGCTTTGGAACTATATCTAGAGGATTTTTCCAATGAGTTGTATTGAATGTACACTAATTCAAAATCAAAATCAAAAATCAAAAAATCTTTATTTCCGTAGACCTAGGGAAGGCATGGAAAAAGTCACATAACTCAGTACAATTACAATGAGGTCACAATCATAAAACAACATAACAACATTTAGAACATAAAAGGGATACAAAAATTTATTCCAAATCAGACTGAAAAAATTCATCAAGCGAATAAAATACCTTTTCACATAATAGTTTCCGAACTTTTCGTTTAAAGAGCTTTATACTAGTTATTTTTTTAATGGATATTGGGAGCTTGTTGTACAGTTTTATTGACATGATATGAGGTCCATTAGTCACCTTGGCTAACTTATGACTAGGAATTAAAATGTTATAGTTTTTTCTCAGGGTGAAGCCCGAAAGAAGACATGTATCATCTCTGTTCTGAAACTTGGATAACATTTTTGCTTTGTTTCTTGTGGTATAACTATGCTCTAACTGTTGAAGGGTGTATTTATTTTTACTTATGAAAATTGCTATGTCGTGTAAATATAACTTTCTGACGCTGAGGATGGCTGCGTCCTCTGTAGTTCAACATTACATGCTTATGGCTTTTTTTATAGACTGGGACGACCATTGCTTGCTTAAGCCAGGAAGGAAAAATACCTTCAGAGAAAGATAAATTGATTAGATAAATCAGAGGTTCCATTATTTTCGAAGCAGCCTTTAATAAAACATTGCCTGGCAATTCATCAACCCCATCATCAAAATAATATTATAAGTATATTATAAATTTCAAAAAATTTTTCACTTATCGATATTATCAGCAAGTATTTCATTTACAAAAAATTAGAGATCACTACAATCATCGCAATATTGTAAACCCAGTTACAAGTACATAAAATAATACATAACATATTTATAGCATTATCGACAAAAACGTCCACGAGGATATAGGTTATATAGGATATATAGTTTTCAAGTTTTCTTTTAAAAACATTGATGTTGTTTTCCAATCTTATACAGGCAGACAGATGATTTAGAAATTGAATTCCTCTGTATATTAGGCTTCTCTCATACAGACTAGTTCCATGTTTAGGAGGTTGGGGATCCAGTTGGGTAGTCGTTATAATCAGAGTTTAGAGAAAAGTTATGATCATTGCTTTTTGCATATATAATGCATTTGTAGATGTAAATAGAGTCAAATGTAAGAATTCCATGTTCTTTGAAATTATTACGACATGTTTCTCTATAGTCTAGGCCGAAAATCTTCTGATTGATTCGACCGTTACTTGATGAAGATCCATAGTAATTTCAAGTTTGTGACGATTAAATCGTGAGGTGTAGTTTTTGAAAAAACGAAAATTAATCGCATGCTCTTCATGCAAAAACAAGAACCTACTTCTTGAATAGGATATAGAGAGCTACTTCATCACTGCCCGTTTCACAATTATCTGGGACATTCCAGGATGTGCAACAGAAGGTACGTTGGTGAAACTGAGCGGACTGTAATAACGCGTTTCGAAGACCAGAGGAGTCTAGTGTCGATCCACATGTCTTAGAGAACGGGCTAAAAAAACGAGAAACGCTTTAAATTGTTGAGACACACATGACAACAGGCTTTTAGACGCCGTTGAGAGTTTTGAACTCGGTATATGTAGAATGTGATTCATGAACAACGGCAAAGGTCCCATCTCAAACAGTCTTGTGATAATTACTAGTAGATACCAGGGGAATATGAAGTATTATGAAAAGTAATATAACATATAATAAATTTCGATACAATAACAGTCTACCACAATAACTAGTACTTGGAACTAATTCAGAGACACTTATTTAATGACCATCATTAGCAAGGGTAATGTTTTGTCTCGATTAAGTAAATTGTAAGATTCATTTTCAATCATCTTCTGACGATGCTCACTTTATAAGCGAAACGTCTCAGTTAGATTAGGTTCGTATACCAAAATCCAGGTATTTTTATGTTCGTTAAGATGAAGTCGAAGTAATTATAATGGTTGGATATCTTTTTAGTAAAAATGAGACAGTCGTTTTTCTCATATCCAGAGTGAACCGGAATCAAATTGGCCGTCCCTGATGATATTCCACTTCCTCATGACACATTAGGAAAACCATGAAAACAAAACATTCGTAAATTACTTCCATCGTGATTATTCTGACCTCTGGAAGCTGCATGCGGTGTTTGGATTTTTATGTAAATCGTTAAATATCAACTTATAAGGGAAAACCAAACAATATAAATGACTAAAATATGTTATAGAAAATGACAAGGTAATCATCAAGAATTGTAACACAATGACGCAACTAGGAAACAGTGAAGTAAATTTTTGCTCCAAAGAAATTAAGTAGAGGCTTTCTGAGAAATCGTCATTGATAATTTTGGGAAATTTGGGTTTTAGAACTTTGAACTTCTAGGCTGTGTCATGGATAAAGTTTTGAGTGAATTAGAATTACACATGAGCCTTTAGTGTTGTTTGTTTTTGATGTTTTTAGGGTGTTAAGCTTTCCATAATCTGAAAAACGGATAAATGTAGATCCACAGAGGCACTGTTCAAGTATAATATTCGGCAA